TGCAAGAGAACCAGGGTAACCATACGGTGCTGCTCCTGGTCAAAGAATATTTGCCTACGATATTTTTAATTTGAACCTATGTACAAGAGGGTGGAAGATGGCAGAAACAGGGGCAGTTGCCTGGAAATCTGAAGATCTTTTCTTCCTTTCCCCAGCAGGTTCCTAAGACAGACCTGCAAGGCAGATGGTAGCAGCAGACAGTTCAGGAGAAGTCACAAAGCCCAGATTCCCCGTGGGCTGAATGGAGAAGTTTCCAGACCAATGTTGGCATGGTGGCCACTAGCAGGATGCTCACAAGGGTAGGAGCTCCCTGAAGGTCTCTCCTTGCTTTTTGCCAAATTTTGGCTTTACAGATTCTCATAAAAAAGCCAGCAGGCAATTCCTGCAGGGGCTCTGGCCCCAAAGAAGCTTCCCAGTCATGCCATAGATGTTTATGGGCCCGTAGGGGCCTTCCCTTAACAGAGGTGGAGGTGGAGTCTTTGCTGAGACAATCTTGCTAGAGTACAGTACAGTGGGGATTCAAAGCATTTCAGGAAAAACTGCAGCTGTAATATGTAGTCTTCCTCCTGGGCAAGAGATATGGGCAGTGGGGTTCCTACAAAAGGTAGGCATTGCCCCTGGCTATGCATGTGGGATCACAACATTGTGTATTGTGTATGTTACACAACTGGAATGAATCAGACCAGCCAAGGGTTGCCCAGTTTCTAAATTCTAAGCAGCCCTTGGCCAAAAATGAAGTCCAGAGAGGTTTAATCCAGACCAGTGTTTACTGCAAAATATGTAAACATTCACATGTACCATGTTCCCACTGAAAATGCTAAAAGCTCCAAAGCAGGCTGTGTGCTTCAGATGTTTTCAGTGCTAGTGAATGATTTTTTAAGCATCAGAATTTTAACTGAGCTTGCTGTGATATGGAGCCCCTGCCAGTTAATTTTAAGTTGTGCTTTTGTGAACAGAAATGTACCATTCTGATGCAGCATGTGTGCAGTGTAGATATGGGGCAATTATTGCTATGGCCTCCTGCCATATCACCATATTATTATCCTTTGAGAGGGAAACAATGTAGATTTATGCTTTGCTTGAGTTCTTTATTTTGGTTATTTTTTCCTGCCTGGTTATTTTTAGTTCAAAATTGTTCCAAATTATGTCAAGGACAGGAGAAGTTGAACTAAAACCATCGGAAGTGCTGCTGTCTGTGAGGGATGTTTCTGTGAGCCAGCGATATGTTCCATTGCATAACCCTAAAGAAATCTTTAGAAAGCAAAGTGCTGCCTCTGTTATCTCCTGATAGTCTCAAATCCAACCCGTCCTGGTGTGAAGAAGCTGGCTGTCAATTTTAGCAGCTGCAGGATCACAGGCTCTGATGTGAAACAGCCACTTTCAAGAAAAAACATGTGTCTGTGTAAGGACATGAGTTAGCTGGCACAGTCCCTCCACTTCCACTCCTTTTGAAGAATACACATTATTTAAACCCCGACATCACTTGCAGGTTTATATCCTCTGCTCAAGACATTTTACATCTCCCTGGGCTATTTGCTTTCGGAGACAGACCCATGGTGTTTCCCAGAAATTAATAAACAAATTCACAAGCTCTTTTTCTGGCATGGGAAACAGCAGTATGGATGAATGCTCCACTGATAAGGTTTTAATGTTGAGTTGTCAGAGGTACAGGTACCTGACAGCTCTTGAATATTAATAATGGAGCACAGCTTTCTCTGTTCCCGTCTGCCTGCTCCGAAGAGACAACTGTGTTTCCTTCCCTTTAATGAATGTGTGTTGTAATAACAGCTTGCAAATATTTTACCCCTGGAAGCAATTACTGAGTTTGTTTTAAAAGCTGAGCTAACACTGAAGACATGTTTACTCTCCAAGTAGACACCCTGTATTTGAGCTATTACATTTCTTGTTACTATTTTTAAACCAGTGTTCTGCAGTTGTGAATGCAAGTTGCTTCATCTGCTACAGCAAATACCCTAATTTGTTAATAAATTAGCAAAAGGGGAATTGAGGGAGAGGTTCAAGCAAAACAATGTGTTGAGAAATCACCTCAATTCCAAATTCAATTAGAAGTGTGTGATGCTGCCAGACGTTGTGGAAGCCATAATGAGCTGTGTAATGCTCGCAGCCCCTCTGCTCCCCTCCCTCTGAATGCTTCTCCACTCCCTGGTGCCTGCAGCTCCTGCCCCATTGCTTTTTGTCTCCTGTGAGAAAACAATGGCAGCAGCCACGGGCAGGGCTGGGACATGTTGGCCTCCACTGTCACTTCCTAAATCCTTTCTATACCACTGTAAACCTTTATCTCAAACAATCTGTACAGATTAGGGCCAATCTCCATTAGTCTGCTCTTGGAGTAGCCTCAGACGATTTTCTTCTTGGTTAATAATTGCCATGTCAACTAATTACTAATTTAGTGGAGACCACCTTTGGAAGTGATCAGGAGGTTGGCAGGAGTCTGAGTCACAGTGTCAAATTCAAGGCAAGTTGTACTTTTCTGAATATGAGGGAGCTCAGGAAGATGCAAACTGGACAAGTGAAGTTACAATTTTTCTGTGTTATTTTTCCTTCCTTTCCTGGAGGGAAGCTTGGTGTCAAAATCCGTCTCTAGCAATTCATAAATGTAGGCAGTGTATCACACATCTTGTGTTCATGGCTCTCTGTGTAAAAACTAACAACACACCTTTGAGAAGAAGGAGGCAGCATTATATCCACAATGGGTCACACTGAATTTTGGGAAGGGTATCCCATTTCCCCTCAAAAATACTGTGCTACAACACCAGCACAGTGTGGGAGGCATCAGAGCCACCTCCTTTCTGCCACCACCATGACACATTCAAGGTCAGGTTGAATGGGGCTTTCAGCAACGTGATGTAGTTCAGGATGTCCCTGCTCAATGCAGGGGCCATGGACTTCAAAGCTCCCTTACAACCTAAATATCTCTAAGAATTTATGGTGTTATTTCGACTCAGTGCAGCCCTCTACCCCCATCTTTCCTTTGCTCCTTCCCCTTGTACCTCCACTGATCATTTTTGCTCCATTGCTTGTCTCCTTTTGGCATTTTGGTGAAGAGAGGAAAAAGGACAACAGACGGAAAATTTCTGCTCCTCCTGTCCCTGGGAGCAGAAAGCCAGTCAACACAGACCTGGTTCTGCTTCCTTCCTATACAGAGGAGTTTAGGATTCCATCACACAGTGAGAGTACAAAACTGCCTCATTGTCCCAAAAAGCAATGTAAGAATCTAAAACAATTTTTTGCACAATCAAAGTTGATGAGATGTCTTCCCACCAAATTCACAAGCAGCAGGACCAAGTCTGTACAATTAAAATGGAGCTCAAACATCAAAGGCAGGAAAAGAAAGGGCACAGCATGAGCTCATGGGATTGTTTACTATGCAACTGTGCTCTCCATATTTTTAAACCTTTTGCTTGAATTTCATTTTCCTTTGAACTCCAGACATGTTAAGGCCCACTAAAATACATGATGTTTTCTAACAAACTACAATGCAGATTAGATCAATTCTTTAATCTCATGTTTTCCTCTTGAATGCTGCAATCAACCATTTTATGCTCAGTTGGATATAAAATTAACTCAGGCTCTTTAGCTTTATTTCAGAATGTTCTGTAACACACTGCAACAGTTCTGTATTCTAAACTTTATAATTTTGCTGAGAATATGCCAGGGTCTTCCCATCGATAAAGGTGAACATAGCCCAGATCTAAACAGAAGGTTCATAGTTACTTTATCGTGAAAAAATTGGGTGAGGTGGAAGCACACAACATTTTGATGGATATTAAAGAGAGGCCACAATCACAGTCCCTTTTGTCCAGGGAAAATGAACAACGTGGAGTATGCTAGTGAATTTGAATAAATAACTTCAAAAGAAAAGGCAGCTCCAGAGAACATGTTAAAGTTCTGAAAATCCCAACAATAAAACCACAACTGGCAATGTTACTTTTTTAACATTTGCAGTTACTACTCCAGCTACTCTCTGACAGTGACTGTCTCTCCTACAGGCAAGTTTTTTTCCTTGAGCACATGGATGGTAACAGTCAGAGAGCTCTCTTCTGTTAAAAAAGGTCTCAAAAGTATTGGAAAGCTTGTGAACAGGTCCTTGTGATACTGGAAGGGAGACAGACCTTTATGTAATTTACAGGAAGTGCTTTTAGCAACTTTATGACTACAATTTCTATAAATATCTGTTGTAGAAAAAACACAAGAACACAAAGAAGCTTTCTCAGAAAAACAATGAACTGTTATAGGCTGACTGCGCTTTGCAAAAACTATGTTCAGAAGCGTTGGTTTATATTTTGAAGAAGTAACCTGCAGCCTTCAGATCCTACTGGGCTAAGCTACATTTTTCTAGAATCTGCCTGTTGCTAGATTTCTCTCCTTCCATTAAGTCCTTTTGATTCTCTACCTGGGCTGGACTAGCATTGTTTTCTTGTAATTCTTGGAATAAAATTTGATCCTGGGCAGAATTGTGGACCATATAATTTCCCATATTTAGGACTTTTGGGAGCAGGTTTTTTGGGGACAGGTGTTTCACAGTACTTAATGCAGCTGCAGCCTTTTTCCAACAGCCAAGTAAACCATAAAAGTGTTCTCAGCTTTTCTACAATATTTCTGGAGGGCCCTGGATGGCAGCCATAGGGGATGGCTTTGATTATCAGTGAAGGACTGTTGGGAAGATTGGTTTGAGTCCCAGCCCAGACACCTGAGATTTCTTTTCCAATCACGTTAAAGAATCACTGTGAATAAAATGATGGAAATTTGTTAAAGGTGGAGAAATAGGATGTAATGACCAGGATTACTTGTCCTATTAAGCAATATTAAGCAATTAACAAAGTAAATATTATTAAGCAATAAACAAAGTAAAACAATTTGAAGTCCCCTTCTGTAATTCAAGGGTTTGTGTCTCCAGTACTAACACCCCACTGGGCAGACTCTATGCCTGGTCTCTCCTCCCAGGATAAAAAAAGCTGATGACTCAATTCTGAGCAACCCTTCAGCCAACCCGAGCTCCTTCTCTCTTTTGGCTCCTCTAGTAAGTAGTCCCTTTTTGACCATTATTCCTCTTCTTCAATCATTTCTACCCCAAGACCCAATTTCCCCCAAGACCCTCCTTACTATAATTCCTTCTCTCTCTTGTTTATTATGTATTTTCATGTCCTAAAGCTACAAGCTGTGAAAGATCAGACCAGTCACTCCAGGCCTGTTTTGGCTTGCTGAATTGGCTGAGGTTTTTCTTGTGTTATAGTAATTGTGTAATTTCCTCCCCTTTCTCATGTTTTTTTACTATCTTTATTTTTTTCAACAGAAATTCTCCAAATATGAAGAACTTAAATGAAAATCCAACATTTTCCAGATGGCTTCCTCAAACACAATAATTAATCCATTTCCCTAGGTGCCTTGCCTGCTTCCAGACTCCAGCTGTTTACTCCCTCTATCCAGGCTGCCATCCTTTTAGAGCTTTCTGAGTGGAGTTCCCTCCTGTAGACCTCAGGCTTTTGTCTCCAAGGCTCAGCTCAGATCTATCTGACACAAATCCTTTGTGTGAGGTAAGCTTCCTCTCCAACATTTGTGCTCATTTCCTGGAGAAGGACTTTTTTTCCCTGGTCTGTGTTTGCTGTGTGGGCTACAAGTCCTTATCAGCCTTTTCCTCCCTCTGATCTCCTGTCTTTTCAGCTTTTCTGGTTTCCATCTGTGCCTGGAGCTACTTTGCCTTCCCAGACCATGGAACTGTCTATTCTCCTGCTCTGGTATTGCCTCACTGCTGCTTGGATCAAGCTGTGCTCCCATGTGCAGACTGTCTGAGATTGGGAGTAGAAGTTACTTTATGAAAACCAGGTGACTTATAAAATTAGACAGTCAAAAATACAGGCAGTTATAACACATTTGTGACTGCTATAACCTCTTTGGGGAATGACTTGAGAGGGTTTTTAAGGCAGCAGGTGAATATCTGGTGCTTCAAAGACAAGTATCATCCTGAAGCTTATTACAAAAATCATCAGCTGTTCCTAAATGGCAAGATACACAGAACAGACATCTGCATTAGATATCAACTCCTTTGTAAATGGTTTTGCAGAAAGAAATTAAAATGGATACGCAGTTTAAACAAATGTGAATAGTGTATGTGGAGGCGAAGAGGAAAAGGAGAAAAATGGTATGGGCAAAGGGAGATTAAGCTGTTGAAAAAAACCCCAAATACACATGAAAGGCGAAACAGCAGAGGAATAAGAGACTGAGGACTGCATAGGGCAGTGCTGTTGTACTGACAAAAATAAGCAAGTAGAAGGAATAAAAATCTTCTCATTTTCTAAGAAAAGAAGTTACCATGTAAAAATGACATAATGGCTTTTGTTTTTTTTTTTTTCTCCCTCCCTACCTCCTTGAAAATGCAGCCTAGGAGAATGTGATTACTACATCACATGCATCCATTTCCTAATGGAAGTTACAGTGCTGTTGCCAGATACTGCCATGACTCTCATCCCACTACAACTTTTTTCAAGGACCTTGTAGAGCAAAACTCCAGAGTGTAGTAAAATTAGACATATTTTGTGTCTCTTTCCTGTCTTTGGTAGGGGTGAAATTCAACCCTCTGCATATTTTATGTGTCTTGTAATAACACCCACTCCTTTATTGCAGAAGAGGTACTCTGTTGTCCTCCTGTGACACCTCCTTGGGATTGCAGCTGGAAGATGTGTCACTGGGACTTGCCTTTGCTCCCTTGCTCTGAACCAGACACTTATGGCAGGTGCTGGATTGGCGATGTCACAGAAATAGATACTCTTGGCCACAGCTTGCACAAGTGGATACAATTTAAGTGTCTGGCTTGTGTATAGCACGTATCACTGCTGCCTGAGCAAGGAGGTTAATCAGCAGCTGTCAATCAGCACTGTTCCAGCTCTCCTGGGCTGGGGTGGTAACTCAGTGCTGTGGGACCACAGCCAAAGCCGAGAGATTTCAGTTCTTGATTTCACCTGTTGTGGTTTTTTTTCTTTTAGAGCAGGAGGGAGTTGTAGTCATTACTGCAGGTCTGTGCCTCTAGCTGCTCCTTTAAGGATGCCCTTCTGGCAATCTGAAGACTGTCCTTCCTGGGAAAAAGAAACAGAGGGAAAGTGGGATTGTGATAGCACTTTATTAAACCCAGTCTGATGAGGAGCAGCTGAGGGAGCTTGGGATGCTAAACCTGGAAAGAGGGAGGCAGAAGGGGGACCTTCTCGTTCTCTACATCTCCCTGACAGGAGGTTGTAGCCAGATGGGGGGGTGTTTTGTCCTCTCAAGTAAAAAGTGACAGGACAAAAGAAAATGGCCTCAGGTTGCATTGGGGAGGTTTAGATTGGATATTGAGAAAAAAATTCTTCCCAGAAAGGATGTCAAGCATTGGAACAGGCTGCCCAGGCGAGGGGTTGTGTCACCATCCCTGGGGATATTTAAAGGATGAGTGAGTGTGGCCCTTGTGGACATGGTTTAGTGGTTGTGTGAACTTGGCAGTGCTGGGTGAAGGGTTGGACTCGATGATCTCAGAGGTCTTTTCCAACCTAAACAATTCCATCCATCCATTCTATGACTTCAGACTGCAGACTGCCCAGCTTGTTGAGATCTTTGCCATGACTGCTGTCACCAGGACTCAGATTTGGCACTGCTAATCTTGCTCTGGACCTGTGTTCTGTGTTGGAGTTACTCCTGGATGTTTGGATGTCAAAGGCAAAATGGGAATAGTGAAAGCCACGTCGTGCATCCTATCAGCCTATAAAGGCACACAAATGCCTGTGCCCTTTGTTTTCCATGAGCTGGCAAAAACTTGACCGTTTTGTCCAGAACTTCTAAAAGTGAATATGTACAGCACACACACACATATAAATATACATTCTATATGTGTGTATGTTATTACATGAACTTAGGGAAATAATGTAACCAAGTCCTTTTTCCTGCTACTAAAGCAAATCACTGAATAATAATCCATTATATAGAAGGAACAAGCTTCATCCTGAAAGCCATTAAAGTCACTTCTCTCCAAACTCCTGTATGAATGTTGTTCCAGAATATCATGGCAGTGTTTTGCCATAATACCTCTTTTCTAATTTCCAGTCTAAGCACATCCACCATCATTTTGTGTGTATTGACTCTGAACAGTGCTGCTTGTAAGCTTTAGTCATGAACTAAATCTAATTCTGCATTGTCCAAACTGCATTGTTGATTTTGTTTGCAAGGAAAACAGGTTTAGCAGTACCTAAAGGCAAAACTAACACAGAGATACTGCAAAAGGAATTTGTATGATGGCATTTGCTTTATCAGACTTCAGTCACCAAAGTCTAAGGTGGTTGTGTGTTTTCCCTCCACAATCACCAGAAAGATGCTGGCACCTCTCCAGGGTTTTTATCACTCAGGCACATATTTCATGATCTGAAGAACTATTTCCCATCAGTGTCTGCTTCTTTCTTTCACAGAAGTGAATCTGTATCAGCAGAGTAGCTGAAGTATGTACCTAAAAGCAGATGAAATTAACCTCTCTTCACTGTTGATCCTAAAATCTAAAAGAATATTCCAGTCAATTACACTTGGATTTTTCACTCATTGAGAGGAAAAGGGATCACAGAGAAATCACCTGATATGTCAGAGAACTGTTTTTAAAGAACTAAACTCCCTTAATCTGGTCTTTATTGACATGTTATGAGACAAACACTGAAAGAAAAACATGGAATGTTTAAACCGTTTTTCTTTCCCCAGAAGCAAGTGGCCTTTAGAATATTCATTACACAAATTGCTCTAATTACAAATTGGAACAAGAATAAGTTTTGGAATTCTGATTTCACATGACAGAGGGCTGATACTATGGTGTTAAAAATGGCTGAAATAGGAAATTTCCTCCCTTCGATCCTAGGTTGTTCTCTGCCCTTATATCAGACCAATTCCATCTTCTAGGAGCTCACTCTGAAATAATATGATCCTTTAGCAGACTAGTGTGTTTAAACAAAACTATTGTTCTCCCTCTTGTTTGTGACAAAAGGTAATGAATGGAGACTGGGAGTTCCTGAGTACAGCAAGAGCTCTGGGATAACTATTCACATGAACTTCTGAAAAAGAAAGAATTTGATGTGAAGGGCCAAGGCATAAAGACAAATTAGATAGAAGAAGAGATGCTGATTTTCCAGTCTGGGCTGGAAATAACACAGATGGAGAAGTGAACAAGAATAGTAAACATTGTGTCTGCAAACTGTTCTCTGAGTACGTGTTTTTGGGAGAATGCCAGCTAAAGGTTCAACTTTTGGTAGGATAAGTATGTGTTACCCATGCCCAAATTTGTGGGTAATCAACTCAAAAATCAGCTGATGAGTTAGTTAAATGTTGCTTCCTTAGAAAAAACACTCAGGTTTGCAAATACCTTTGATAATACAATTTTGGCAACTCAGGGACATGCTGGAGCACGTTCCCCTTCTCTGTTGCACATCCCCCCTGCATTTTCCAATGGGCAAATGCAAGTCCAAAAATGCAACTAACTATTCTGTATTAACTTGATGGTGTTTTCCTCTGCACACAAAAAAATTGCAGTTCTTTGCATATTTATCAGGAGAAGTAGCAATAATCTCAGCTCACCATCCCACTTAGAATGGGAATTCAGAAACATTTTACTTGTCAGGCCATAAATACCATCTTCTGTTTGTGTCTCTAACTTCATTGGCTCTGAAAGCAGAACAGGAGCTGCTTTTCCTCTTTCAGGCTGAGATTTTGGTAACAGTTAAAGCGGGAATACAGAGTCAAAATGTACACTTGTAGCCAATGAGTGAAAAAGAAAATTCATATTCTGCTGCTTTTGTGGGAATACACTGTGGTGAAATGAATAATCCCCAGTACTTTAACTTCCTAGAAGGGAAAATATAAGGCAATCAGGTGCTTCTTAAGTGCTCAGTCTGTTGTGCTGTTGGCTCAGTTTGCTGCCCTTCTAGAAAACCTGATGTGTATTCTTGGCAGCAGGCATCAGTGTCTCGAGGGAGAGGATATACAAGCCTGCAGGAATGTAGATAAACATCTAAGTTCGTACTATACATAACAACAACAAAAAATAACCAGTGAAAGCTTTCAAAGTGCTGCCAAGGGGCCCTTCTTCATAGTCACAAGTACCTTACTAAGAGGAGAGCTTACACTTCTAATTGAAAATATTTCATATTTAATAGATTCAATCATAATTCTGACTTTTTTGACAACAGCAAAAAGAATAGTCTATAGGGTTTTATTTTTCTGGGGCCAAGTAGGGAGAGATGTGTGTCCTTTCTAGCACTGGGCAATGTTTTCATTGTAGAAATGTCTAATGGTTTTGTCGGTCGTTATTTACATAATAATTTTCAGAACCAAAAATGCAGGAAACATTTTTTGGTAAAGTTCAGTAGCTTGCTGGAAACAATTATACACCACACAGAAGCATCTACGGACTCTAGAAGCACATACAGTTCATCTGGTAAAACTGAAGGTGAGGGTGTGTGACTGTCAGGGGAAATAGTGTTTTATTATAGAATTTTCTAACAGTGGTATTTGGTCAACTCTGGCAATTCCACAGACGTGCAGAATGACTGCCCTTTGGGAATGCTATTTATAAACTCCAAAGGGGCTGAACAGCACTCACAAAAAGGCTGCCAGTTTCAAGAAAATTAACGACAATCTGACATTGTTGGACGATGAAGAGAGAAGAGGCTTTGTGCTGAGCTTAAGGCATGAAGTGTGTTTGCACTGCTTTGTCTTGGCCTCTCTGTGAAAGCCTGGGGTATTGATGGGATCACCCTGCTCATGGCACTGTCAGCTTAGGCAAATCAATACAGAAAAATGTAAACTTACAGGTAACTTCACATCCCTTTCTCCTAAAGGCTCTCAAGAGAAAACTGTGCCTTTGTGTCCTGGAGCCTTCAGGGTATGTCTTTGCTGTACTTCCATTAAAAAACAATCCACAACAAAACCACAAGACGCACCCCCAAGACAATCACACCCAAAATAGTACCCTGAGTGCAAGTAGTTTGTGCAGAGTTTCTGCACATAATCCAGGCTTTTGGTGACAGACTGGTTTTATTTGGAATTTTAAAAATTCCAGTTAGACATAGGTCAACTACAAGTCCACACTGATCTAAAGACTAACAATTTCCTGCTTTAAATCTTCCTGCCAGGTATGGAAACTGAACTTAACTAAGCACAACCATCAGATGAGCACCAGAATTGGCACAGGATTGAGAGAGCCAGAAAGAGAAGTTCAGGGTCAAACAGTGACACATTCCAGCTGCTGTGCCAGTGCCTCAGCTGCTGTTGGCAGCCACACTGCCAGCACAAAGGGCCTGTACGGGTATCCGTGACTGTCACTGAATAAAAAAGCACTTTCAGTTGATTCCATCATCCTGCCTGTGGCACAGGAATGCAGGCATATATATAACATGTGTGCACTTACTGTGATACGAGTATTTCTGTATCAAATGTTTTAATAAAACTCACTGACTTTTGAGCAAACTTTGTATCTTCTGGTCATTTCAAGTTGGACTACACTGCTGTTACTGACCGAGTGAGGGGAAAACTACATTGCTAATTCTGTATGTTTTGTGTGAAGTCATCTCTGCAGAAAAAAGGCTCTGTATCCTGCTCCTAGAGCATGTGTGAGAACTGTTACAACAAGAAGCAGCTTCCCCTTTTATTTTGGAAAGACAAAATGGCTGAAGGCCACAGCTGTTGATTTATTCAGATGCCGAAGGAAACCATTAGCCCATTGGACCCTGAAGATGAGATTCCTTTGTGCTAAACGTTAATATAAGGAAATCCCAAACCGGGGCTGCCAAAGGGACATAATACAAATGCAAAATGCCAAATGCACCTAGAAAGGAAGGAGGTAGATGGTTGTTTATTAGAGAAGAGGGAAAAAAAGCCAGTGAGAAACAAAGTTTTCTTTTTTTCTCTTTCTTCCTAAGTACAGTGTGATGCACAAACTGTGAGATGAAAACTCTCCTGTGTTTAAATCAAACAGAATATCTTTGAAACACACAGTTCTACCAATGGTTGTACCGTTAATGACTGCATGTCCATGTGAACTGGTTTTTATCAGCATAATGCTGCTCCACACATTCCCTGCTGTTTGCAGCTTTGTTTTAATTAGTTGTAATAGCCCAGTATAAATGAATTGCATCCACAGAAGAGAGGTCACAGAAAAAACATAATAGCTGTCATCAGGGTAGGCAACTCCTCTTTCAGACTGCTGCTGTAATGGCCTCATGGCAGAAACATGATTAATCATTGCTGGTACTTAGCCTGAATTTCACAAACATCTCCCTCTCTGCCAGTTCTTTTCTTTCAAGATTCAACAGTTCCAAGTACTTTATTTCGTACCTGTGCAGAAGTGACATTTCTAATACTTCATTCAGAACTTTAAAAATGTTTAGTACAGGACAAGCTGTCATCTACAACAATGGTTAAATCAAATGGAGTCCTATTTAGTGGATGTATTTTTATATGTCACAATGAGGCCACAGAATTGAAACCTGTCCTGGCTCCCTGTCTTGTTCTCAGCCCAGCAAAATGGAGTTTTGGCATGTGGCAAAGAAATGACAGGAGGAAAAGGAACAGTACTCTCTAGTCAAATGTGAACTGAATGTGAACTGAATATAGCAAAGAGAACATCATTGACTGAGGAGGTTGATAATAATGGAGGAAATAGACCAAGAGTGGTTGAAACAAAGAACAGAGGAATTTGTTTCCGCTGGCTGATGTTCCTCCACTTTTCCAACTAAGATTTTAACCAATAAAAAACAAACCACGTTTGTGCTGTTGCCATGACAGCTTCCAGTCAAAGACAAATCAAATCAGGATAAACTTCAGCGTTCATATAATTTCCCTCATTTTGGTTGGTTGCTTGCTTAATAAGTGAGAATGCAAAATATGATTGGTTTACAAAGTCATTTGCAGTTATTTGCACAGCAGTTCTCATAGAGTTCTTACAGATCAGCATTGACCCACATTCCATGGTTTCAAAAATATGGCACATGATTCTTTCAACACCCTGAAAAACAGCCCCACCAATTCCTTAGTGTCACTGGCTGTATTCTGGGGATCTTTGCTGTGTCCAGCTGGTTACAGTTTTTCATCCTCCTTTAGCAGTCAGCTGCACGATGGCCTGTGACCAGTTGCTCTTGGCCTGGCTGGAGGGAGCTGTGCGGTATCCAAAGGGTCCAGCCTGTGACCCAGTGTAGCTGCTAAGGTGTCCCTAATGGAGTGTCTGCAGTGGGTAGGAAGAACAGGAAAAACAAAGTTTGCTTTGCTTCTTTGAATAATGATAGAATCTGAAAATCATTTAAGTTGGTAAAGACCCCCAAGGTCATTGAGTCCAACCTTTGATTGTGCGTCACCATGCCAACTAAGCCAAAGCACTGGGTGCTGCATCCAGTCTTCCTTGGAGATTTCCAGGGATGGTGATGCCACAACCTCCCTGGCAGCCCATTCCAGGGCCAGACAGCCCTTTCACTGATGAAATTCTTCCTCATGTCAGTCTGAACATCCTCTGGCACAGCTTGAGGCCATTTCCTCTTGGTCTGCCTACCCCCCACCTGGCTGTCCCCTCCCGTCAGGGAGTTGTGCAGAGCCAGAAGGTCCCACCTGAGCCTCCTTTTCTTCAGGCTGAGCTTCCCCAGCTCCTCCCTCAGCTGCTCCTCATCAGAGCTGTGCTCCAGACCCTTCCCCAGCTCCATCCCCTCTTCTGGACACGCTCCATGCAACCACCTCCACAACAGGTAAAAAATATCCAAAAACCAGTTCAATATTATTATGCAGGCTTCTTTTTTCCCCTTGCTTGAAAATCTGCATTTTGACACAATTTTTATTTACAAATGAACTGCTCTGTGGTTTTATATTTTCTCCCTTATTTTTTAAAATAAGAGTCCTGCCTCCTTCTGTGGAATAAACAGATTCACTCTTCACTGACTGTGCAGTGAAGGGAAAAGTACTGTATGTGTTGAATGAGTATTTTCCCAGTTTGTATGTTTTAAAATGAAATATATCTGCTGCTGCTTCAAACCAGCAGAGGGAGTGTGCTCATCCAAATAATTTTTAAACTTTTCAACACAATCCTATTTTTTCAGTACTTTTGTTACCTGGCAGGAACTGCTGCTGAAAAGAAAAGGTGAAACTTTACCATCCAGATTGTTTAACTCCTTCGTGATAGAGGCTGCTTGCTTCCAGTCAATTTTTATGGATATAATTGTGCAAGAAGTTGCTGCAATCAAAAATGCATTAGAGAATTAAAAGCATAAAAAAATCAGCTCAGCTGGAATGTTTGGGAGCAAACTATTTGGTTAAAGGGGAATGTACAATTATTGCAATGCATGTGCCACTCAAATGTGCATGAAACCACTGTGTGGTAACAGTTGACACAGGTTTTTTTGGAAAAAAAAGTCAGTTCCTTTATTTTTACACTCTAGAGAGAAGCTTTAAAATTCCTGGTTTAGGTTTCTTTATTTGGAAATACTGGAGTAATTTTAAGATGACCACAGTGGCAAAAAAGGTCAAGTGAAAAGTTCACTGTAACAATACCAGGGAAAAATTCTCATTATTACTAGTTTTTTTGTGAGAGAAAAGAAATCAGCTCCAGTGGTGACAAATTGTATCATTCTTATCTTGTGTTATAAACCTGCATAGCTGGAACTATACAATGATCTGTCTTGTAAAATGAAATTATACCAGTTACTGACGTTAACAGTGGATATTATCTTGATCTGCAAGTATGTCACAACTCTTCCTCTCTCAAAAGCAAAGTAGAAATCCAGATATTCTATATGGCTCAATCATAAAACACTTAAAATGCTAATCTTTCATTTTAAAAAGTTTTGTTGAACAAATCTGTGAGACGATTGTGTTATTTTTGGGAACCTAATTGGATTTGAAAATACTCTGAAACAAAAATGCACTTTTATAATAACACAGAGTATCAATTCTCTACACCTTGAACTGAAAGGAGGGTCTGAATAAAAAGCAAGAGCCATTGTTCCTTGTATATCTGCCCGAATATGAGTAAAACTATTTTTAAAGGACTACATAAATACCAATTATTGACTAATATCCAGGGGAAAATGGCTTATTTAATTTTTCAGCTTTTACTGAAATGGAAAACGAGGAAGGAACTCATTGTAGGTGATCTAGAAGGTAATTTTTGGTAAATAAGCATTTAGCACATGCCACCAGACATAGAGCATAGAGAAAAGCAATGAAGTAGTCACGTGATTTTGTGATTTAACAGTTGAGTGAAAATAGTCAATAGCCTGGCACAGATGTATTTTCTTTACATGTATTACAATTGCCCACTCACATGAGAATGCTAAATATGGGTCCTGATGCTGCTCTGAGTCACACATGAGCACACTTGCACTTTTGCAAACCTCAGTGCTGTGAAGTCTTTTCAAACTCAACAAAGCGTGGGGCAGACACAATTGCCAGGGCCACACACCTCACGGGCCACAGCCCAGCTTTAGACAGAAAGCTGCTCAGGCTGCAGGTGATGGATTCAGCATCATCACAGGCAGACACCCACAGGGAAAGAGACTCGGGCTCAGCAGCCACAGGGGCTCGCTCCTCTCTGCCTCACTGGTACTGGAAGGAGGATGGAGACTGAAGCACAGGACCAGCGGATGCTGGTGCATTATCACTGGAGCAGATGGGCTTTGAATAAAACTCAGTTTTTTTACTCAGACTGCTAAGAAGCTTTGAGCCAGCCCTGGCCAGAGTTATCAAGGCATGTTGAAATAAAACAGAATTTCACAAAGCCATTTTTTTATCTGTCCACGATATAAGAACCAAGAACCAGGGCTTTGCTCTCCAGCCTGTTCTAGGATGAAGGGAGGGGCAAAGGCAGCTTTATGTCAGCATGAGTGAATATGAACTGCAATAAAATTTGGCCAGCTTCCAGAAAGAAGCTTCCAGAAAGAAGGCTATATGGTATTCCTTCAATGCTCTGTAAAAATGTACACTATTGATATTTATTTCTCACCTCTTGTTTATGCACAATTAGCTTAGTGGCAGAGTTTGAAAAAGTAAAAACTACTACATCAGATAAAATTTATAATTCCTCTTATCCTTTATCATTCTTTTTTTAGCACATAGCTTTACAAAGGAAGGGGAAAAAAGTGATACTTTAGACAGATGAGGATAATTAATTCTCACGGAAGTTATTTTCTGAATTTTTATTGGAAGCGATTTCAAACTCTAAGGCTGATGTTTCCTTTCTGTCCCAAACCTCCTCTTCTTGTTAACTACTTTAAACCTGGGGTGCAGGAGGGTTGTAGTTTTATAAAAAATAAATTCTCCTTTAAAGGGTAGTATCGTGGGGCCATTTATCAACAAAACATAGCACCTGCATCAAGGAATTTCTGACTATGACTTGTACATTCCCAGTTCTGCAGTTGAAAAAAATTGAAGCACCTGCCTCAAAGTATGGTGAAGCAGATAAAATACTATAATAAAATGTGATATATACTTGTTCATACACTCAGACTCCATGTTTTGTCTTTGGTGCTCATGATCTGACTAATTTTCCCTTTCTGTGCCATGAGAAAGATGCTAAGCAAAAGCTGACTCCTGGAAATACTTGACATTCTTTTCAGGCTAATTTTGTCCTGAGCTTGGCTGAAACAGCTCATTTGGAACCACTCATAAAAGGATGTCTGCAACAAGGAAGAGGGAATATTTTCATTTCAGAGAGCCCTGCTGTGTTATATTCCCTGATTTTCATCAAAACCAGACCATGTTTACTTGTCCTTTTGGCCTCAGGGTCAGGGTTTTTTCTTTAAATTGCTTCAGTTCTAAGTAGTTGTTTCATTCATTCCTGAGTTTCCCACAAAAACCTTAACAGGGGCAGCCCGCTATAGCTTGAAGCACTTTCCGACATGCATCTGAAGTAAAACCCCACCCAACAGAAAAGACCCCTACCCTATAAACTCTTCAAAAGCAGTGTACAAGCCCACAAACACATGCATGATGTTAATGACATTGGCCAAGGGGATGGTTAGGTTGGAAAAGATCTCTCAGATCATCCAGTCCAACCTGTGACCAGACAGCACCATGTCAGCTAGACCCTGGCACTAAGTGCTACATCCAGTCTTTGCTGAACATCCCTGCAGGGATGGTGTCTCTGAGCTGCCCATTCCAGTGTGCAGTCACCCTCCAACCTGAGCCCCCTCAGCTCCCTCAGCCTTTCCTCACCTGTTCCTGGTGTGAACAGAAGAAAGGCTGAGGGGGCTGGGGCTGTTCAGCCTCGAGGGGAGCCCCAGCTGAGAGGGGCCCTCATCCCTGGGTGTCCCTGTGAGCAGGGAGGGCTCAGAGCAGGGACCAGGCTCTGCTCCATGAGGATCCAGCAATGGCACCAGAGGAATGGGCAGGGTTTGATCCCAGTAAGTTCCACCTGAACAGGAGGCAGAACTTCTTCCCTGTGCAGTGACCAAGCACTGAACAGATTGCCCAGAGTGTGGAGTCTCCCTCACTGGAGATATTCCAGAACTGTGGACACAATCCCATGCCGTGTGCTCTGGGTAATTCTGCTTGAGCAGGAAGGTGGAACCACTGTGGTCCCTTCCGGGCTTGACCTATTCTGTGATTGCATGAAGGAGGCTGTGAGGGATGTGAGGGATGTGAAGGGGGTGATGAGGGGAGTGATGAGGAGGTGGATGAAGGGGCTGTGAGGGGCGGTGAGTTATGAGAGAGCTGTGAGGAGGCTGCCTGGAGAGTGATGAGGGAGCTGTGAGGGGGTTATGAGGAGGGGGTTTGATTAGGGCGGTGAAGAGAGGAAAGCTGAGGGGGATGCTGAGGGTGTGGCGAGAGGGCGGTACCGGGGCGGTCCCTGCCCTGAGGGGCGGGTCGGGGGCGGGGCCATGTTGGTGACGTCATCACAGCCTGGCAACGGCTTGGGGGCGGGGGCGGTGGCGGCGCGCGGCTCTCGCGGGACTTGGCGCCCCCCGCCGTGGGCGGGGCGGAGCCGCTGGTGCCTGAGTTCGGCTGAGGCGGCAGCAGGAGCAGCGGGACGCGACGGGCGAGCGGCCCCTTTGCTCCGGGCCGCCTGCGGCTTGGAGCCGCCCCTTCCACGCCTGTAGCGCCACGGATGGAGCCGCAGTGTCCGGTTTGAGCGCGTCGGCGAGACCCGGAGCCGCTCCGCCGAGCCTGGGCGGGCGGGCGCAGTATGGGTGAGTGCGTCGGGGAGGGCGGCGGGACCAGCTCCCTCTTCCCACTTCTTCGGGGGCGCCTTCGCCGCCCTTTGTTTGAGGGGAGGGCTCGGACCCGTGGGCCCCAGGGAGCCCCCGAGGTGCCCGGGGCGGGAGCGGTGCCGGTACGCAGGGGCCGGTGGAGGAGTTGCCGGGCCGGCGAGTGCGGCAGGTGCTCGGTGAGCGCTCCCTCCTGGAGAGGCCAGGGCCGCTCCGTCCCGCCCGGCCGGTCCCGGGGGCTGCGGAGGGGCCCGGGCTGGGAGGAGGCGCGGGGAGTTCCATGGGTTTCGGTGGGGAGAGCGAGGTGTACAGCAATGCCTGATGCTGCTTGGACGAGTGGCTTGGTGAAGCATAAAACTTTCTGGTTAAATCCAGCCCTTTCGCCTTTTTTGTAAAATTTTTTTCCACTGAACGTCAATTTGAGCTACGTCTTCGCTCATTTCCCCACCAAGGCGAGAAGCACTCACTGTATTTTAAAGAGAGGGAGCGTAGAACTACTGGAAGCGTTCCTGTGTTCAGGATGTGCCAGTTCACGTTCACACGGGGAACAGTAAGTTGTGATGGATCTAATTTTTAGTGTAAGCGTCGGTATAGGGAAGTATGAACGAGTGACTTGGACACCACTCTTGAGACCCCTCTACTTATAGCGACTTCCCTTTTATAGAGACTTTGGACCTCGCTGGAGTCGAAAGCGGTGCGCGGATCATTTTGTCTGTCTCCGGTGCTTCCACCCTGCTGTGCTGTGTAACACTGGTGTACTCCTGGAGGGTGTGTGCAGGGGCGCGGGTGGCAGTGGCTTCAGTGCCCTGTGTGCTTATGCTGTTGTGTGCAAACATGCTCCATCAGAACGGGAGTAAAGCTTTTGAAGTGGAAGGATACCTCGGTTTTGGATAGCTTTTCTGCCTCCCTGTTGTGCATAAAAATGAAGAAGTGCACGGGTTGCAGATCAAACGTGCAGTTGTGAAGCAAGAAGCACTCCTCCTGGCTGGTGTTCTGCTAATTATCAAGATAGGCTTTCTGTGGGTTCATCTCAGTGGAAGCTCTCATATGGAGTCAAAGCAGACTTTAAGTAATTTTAAATGAAATATGAAAATATAAAATGAAATTAGTGGTTTAAATTCTGGTAGAAACTAAACATCTCACTTTTCGAGGCTTTCTGTGATTATTCAGAATAGGTAAGATTTGATCTTCATTTCTTTTCGGGCTGCATTGTTTCATTTGGAAGTGAGAAATGTCGGCCCAGGTCATTGTAGTGGCCTGTGATGGTAGTTCCAAAAGCATAAAGGCTTAGTGTGCTAATTAAACGTATTGAACTCAGGCTGTAATGCTGAAATGACAAATACCTCAGGATTGACATATGGTAGGTTTGGGTTATTAAAATCCTTAGTATACTCAATTAGTATAGTTAGGAATACTGTATAAGGGCTGAGTCCAGTTTATGATTGTATATGATTATTCTATGACATAGTTTTATGTATTTTTGTCCTTAAGTTTCCTTTTCTAAAGGAAATCCTCTTCTGATGACCATAAGGAGCATGTTATTACTGTTCTAGATATGAGTGAACTGAGTGGGTGCACACATTGTCAAGTATTGCTGTTGTGTGGGTTATTTGTTAACATAACAATTTGTATGTATGTGGAGTTACAGAGCAGTTCCTGCCAGCATGGTGGCCAAGCTCTAGAAAGGATTGTATGATAATCCCAGAGCCTTTTAAAACAGATTTTCTCTGAAGGTTTTGTCCTTTATTCAGATTTCCAAGTATTTCTTTCATGTGGTCAAAAGGAATGTACAATAGAACATCACTAAAAATAAGAGTGGAAAAAGAAGTAACCGTAGCTTGCTCTGTACTCACTGTAATTAGTAGTTGCCTCACAATTTACCTTCAGAATACATTAGCTGATTATTTTAGTACTGGCGTCATGGTAGAGCTGGCTCTTGATAATAGATTGTCTTCTATGTCAACTTGTGGAAGAGATTTTACATATAAGAGATAGCTTAGAGGGGAGTGTTGAGGTATCTTTGATGAACTCAAGGATTTTTGAGATTTATGAAGTAAGAACAGCCAGTATGACTCTGGAGGAACCAAAAAGAGAAGGGCAGAAGTACAGAATGCCTTGGAAACAAGTTCTTTCATGTTCTTCTGGAAATTCATGTTTCAAGAGCATATGTCATTCAGATGTCTGAAGGATAGGGAGGGGGATGTGATCAGAGGTGAGACACACAAGACCATATAAAGTTATTGGTAATGTCCAGTGACATCCTTGAGCCCTGTCATTATAATTCTCTGCCTTCTGCGCCAGATTAATCATGTGTTTATGACTCTAGAAACAGCTTGATAAACAGATTAAAAGGAAAAAATATATTCAGATGTTCTAGGTAGAAAAGATTTTATTTGATTGAATTGTCTTTTACTGTTTTGGGTTGATAGTAACTTGGAGAGATTAGCTTCCAGCTAATTGTCATATAGCTTTATAACTAGGGAGGAAATATTCCAGAAGCAGCTGATAAATTGCCACAGTAGAACACTCCAATCCACTGAACATCTGTCAGTATCTTCTTAGCTATATGCATGCCCCCAACTTTTTGCTTCCAAAAAATTTGTGCAGACTTTGATTTGTGGTTATATATTAGTATATATATTAGTATAGTTGGTATATTTGAATTTTCTGCATGTGATCTTCAGAAAAATTTATAATTTTGGAATGCTTTAAGACGCCACATAGACTTCTTCATTGCCAACAGAGTAAGTATAAATATTTTTGGTCTACAGAGTAAGTTCATTGAACATTAAACTTGTGTGATGCCTATTCCTAACTTCATGTTGGCAACAAAAACAATCTAGAAGGTTTTTGTAAGCAGACTTAATACTTTTAACATATTGTCATGGAGACTGTGACAGTTTCAGTATTCACCAGTAGTATTCCAAGAACCTCTTTAACATTACTTCAGCATTTGTTCTTCAATTCAAAAACAAACAAAAAACCCTTACAGAATAATTCCCCCACCAAAACCCAAAAATTTACTCTATACACCCCCAAACAAATGGGATAGCATAGATGAAGAGTCCTGCTGCTGGTATTTTTACCAAGAAATATGTAAGGTGGGATGTGCAGTTGAGCTTCAGTCAGACTTTATTGTAAAGTGACAGTCAGAAGTTCAAGTTCTTGTTAAACCCTTCTGTACTCAGGTACTTGATGAGCCTGATGTTGACCAACTGTACTTGTGGTGATCAGCAAAGTGCTTTCTCACTACCATTTTCTTTATTGTAGACAAAACTATATGGGAGTGTGATGTAAAATTGACTGGGAGTTACTTGCCTAAGCTACTGGGAAACCAAATTGAAGTAAGATCCTGACTTTGGGTCAAGACAGTAGAAATTGTATCAAAAGGTGCTAGAGATTCTGTCAGCTCAGCTGCTGCCTTTTTTGTTTTTTGGGTTTTTTTCCCCCAAGAAGTTAAGAACTGCTGTGCTGAGAGTCCTGACTGTGGAGACAGGTAGGGAGGAAAAGCATAGGTGAAGCAGTGAAGCAGGTTTGTTGTGGAAAGTTCCTTTTTTTTTTTTTTTTTTTTTTTCTTTTAATAAAAACCCCTGGTCTGGCAGTTAGTGATTTATGAACTTTCTCAGAGGTGTTTGTGGTTTCACCAGATCGCTTTTTATAGATAGTTCAAGTCCGTGGTTGTCCCTCCCTAAGGGGCTCAAAAAACCCCTGTGGTTTTTGCCAACCACCACTGTCTGTGACAGTGGGAGTCCTTGTTTAACATATATAGGAATGCATGGGGGAAATACATCCCTTCAGTGTGAGTTTTTTTGCCCCAAAACTGCTCCTTGTTCTGCCAGACTCCTTTGTATTTTGAGAAACGGTGGGTGATTATTTGATGGCTTCATACTGAGAGTCCCTACATCTAGTTTGTGCCAGTCATTCCAGGTGCTGGTCACCTTTACTGGATAGTTATTTAGTATTGATTGTGTTTTCATCTTGTTGAAAAGAATTTTTCATGTTCTTTAAGAGTTAACTTCATGCAGGGGTGCAGTTATATTTGCTGTCTTGGTTTCTTCTTGCAGTTTCTTTTTTCTAGCAGTTCTTAAGAGCTTTAATTTCAGCTAGGTAGGACCTTGCCCTTGAATTATCCTCACCTTCACTGGCTTTCTCCATTATCTGCCTGTGCTTGTTTTTTTTTCCCTGAGTGGGTTTTTATTGCATAAACACAGGAAGTGTGTGGTTGGGCACGCTGCGCTGTGTGGGGCTAAGTGAGGCGGCTGCCTGCTCTGTCCCACTCTGGCTGTCACAGCTCTGCTCTTCCCGTTCATTGTGCTTCCCTGGAGATGCTGTTACATATAACTGCTGGTCTGGTAGTTCCTTAACCTGGCTTGATAAAAATAATTTGTTAGGAAAGAGCAGCAATGAAAATGTTTAAAGTGACTAAAATCATCTTGACTGAATTGGTGGGTCAATCAGGTGAAATTTGTTGCTAGTGGGTCTGGGATGTAGCAATTTTTAGCAGCTGTGATTGCTACCTGGGCACTTAAAAGGTGTCTCTAGTCCTTGGCAGGTGTTTAACTTTTTTCTTCTACTCCTTTTAAAGTTGGTATTTGTTTGTTTTTTTTTAAACTGGCATCTTGTATTTTGTAAGGTAGCTAAATTCCATTCAGCTTTTTCTTTCCTGATACTTTTAATTTCCATGATGTTGCTTTTTGTTTCTGTTCTGAATTGTGTGAATATACTAATGATCTAAATGCCCAGTGTTTGGTGGAGGTGATGCCTGAGCCTTTGCTGTCCCTTACTTTGGATGTGGGGTGGTGAGAAACAGATTTCTCCAATGCAGTGGTGGTGGAAGTATAGCCCTGCTTGAGCATCACCCATGGCTGTCCTGGTGCACTGGTGACAGCAGGACTGAAACACTAAAACTGCCTTTCCAGTTGCCTCTTTTCTGGTCCAAACTCTTGGCACATTAATAAGTTTCCTTTTACCCTAAATTATTC